TAAAGTGAATTCACATTTTAATATTACAACCTCAATATTTCCTAGTTTTGTCACAGTAAAAATCAATTTCAATGATAAAAATATTGATTGACTCAGTGACTTGATTTAGCGAAATTCATTACGAACCTTGAACTCACAGTTGAACGTAAATTCCCACAAAATTGTGAAAAATTCGAAATTCAAATTCGGTTTCGGTTTCAGTTTCGATTTCGAAAACTGTTGAGTTTCAGTAGTCAAATGCATTGGAAAGTGCATTGAACTGTTATATTTCACCGAAATTTGATCGCTAAGGAAGCGAGCTTTATTGCTTTTATTTATTGTGTCGTATCACTCTTGATTTTGTGTGATACCAAAAGCAAAATATAAGGGGCAATATTAGTTAAAATTTATGAAGCTAAGGCGTTCAATAAAACTTTCCAAAACTGCTGTAATTCGATACGAACAGACAAGCAAAGTGCAGGTAAGTAAATTGTATTTTGTCTTCACATTAATTTTAAATATAAAACATATATTTAAATTTGACAAAAATATATTTTATAAAGTGTGAAGTGCAAAGAAGAAGACTGCCATCAACTGGCCATTTACACTCCATTTATTACTGATCGGAGACCGGTAAATGGTTACAATTTTGAACTGAATAGAGGCAGCAGCCGGTACGTTCAACTCGTTATTTTTTATTAAATCTGAAAAATTCTGGGACTATAAAATGTTTTACAAATTAATATATGATATATGCAATTTCGTTGCCAGTTTAATTAGTTGCAATTGTTATCAGTGATTTATATCAGTAATTTGAAAGCAGTGCCATTCCATTTCAAAGTAATATATTTCATATATTAATTTTTTATGTGTGACTAATTAAGGCGTTCTAAATTTATGTGCCTACTTCTCTGACAATTGATTAATGAAATGAGCTAAAAAACAATTTGTAAATTAATTTTTTTCTAAAATATATACAACTTCTGGAATTCAAATTTTTCAATTAAAATTTATGACTCTTATGGATATTAAAATTTATTGAGGCTTCAATGTAAACTCTGGATTTGAATTAAAGTGATGTATTGTCTACTACACAATATGTAAATATCGTTCAACATATAATATGTAATAATTGATTCATGTCATATGTAACTACAACAGTTAAGGGACTTAAACGGTTTTATTATACTCTCTTTAACAGATTATCTCTATTGAGTGGTCACCCAATTTTTACAGACAATTTTTGAAAGTTATTTATTATTATTTTATTTTGTTACTTCATTATTTAGAATAAATTAGCAGATTATTTGATGAAATACTAATCTTAACAATTTTAGTTTGACAAGGAGTGAGGTGAAGAGTTTTTGCTATAGTATGAAATTATTGAGGAAACTGCTTAACACTTAACCCCGCACAATTTTTTGTAGCTCTTACCCGAATGCCCTTAAAGTCTCTATTAGGAAAGTTTAATCAGGTTAACTCTTACGGCTATCACTATGGCAGCCACTCTTGTGATTTTTATTCTACTTTGGGAATCAATTCGAAACCAAACACTTAATTTATTGAAAGATATCCATTTTAAAAAATTTTTGAAACAGCTGCTATATTATTCATTATTGGTAAAAAGAACAGTGTTACACCACAATCCATGAGATCAATTATGCAATAGGCAATTATTAAAGCATAATACATATCATAGGACGTGGTGTTACATTATCCTTTTTAACATTAAATTGGCTTTGTTATAAATTATACCCTAAAGGCATGACAATAATAATAATTATCAATTATGGTTAATTGATATTTATTAATTATTGAAAAGTTCTCTTTTGAAAGTTCTACAAAAGGAATATCAATTAATAAGTCAAGTCTTCGTCTTTGAATTAATGCTCTCTTAGCCATTATAATTAATTTTTTTATCACTAATGCGAATATTGCTCAATTTTCTATAATTATTTTTTGCATGTTTAGTGATGTTAGCTAGCACTTTTGCTCATTTTTGGTGATATTGTGTTTGTGTTCGTATTTGTTATTATTTTTATTTAATTTTTGGTATTGTTAGTCATTTTAAGTTATTTGTTGATAGTCAAGGGATTTTACTGCAATGTCGAGATTTGTTTCAAAAATTAAATTTGTAATT